GCGCACGCCGAGCTGGACGCGCAGCTGGCGCTGGCGCGCGCCGCGGCGCTGGAGCTGGCGCGCGGCGTGCGCGAGCTCAGCACGCAGCACGGCGCCGTGGGGCCGCTGCTGGACTCGCTGGCGCGCTCCGTGGCCAGGCTCACGGAGCACAGGTGCGTCCCAGGTGCGTCCCGGACGAAGCAAACGCTCCTTGACAAACAAACACAAATAGATCGGAATTTAACATTTTTGCTAATGCACCGTCGTTGTGCGTTGTACGTTGGAAGTATCGGTTACTGGTTTTCTTAAATTACCAAAGCGCCGTGCAAAAATTTAGTTCCACAATATTTATTAAGTTGCTTCACTTACAAAATTACGAAATTACACCTGATCGAAAACCCAACATTTCCTTCTGCGCAATGCTAAAAAACATAGTGTATATAAAATCAACCTCCGACTAAAAATATTAAAATTGAAATATACCAACCGCGCAGCTAAATATAAAGAACATTTTCCTATCTAAAATTCAGCAAGTTTTCAGCACACCCTCATTCCACGCATTACGTCATCGGTGTGTCATAATTCAGAAATAAATCGATCGACTATATCCAGCCGACAGGTCAAGGTTCCTCCTCCGCTATAACATAGATCTGACCTAGTTAAAGCTGCTAGTTAATGGTTTCCGTAATTACTATAAAGTAACTGATGAGTAAACGGCGCTAATGAACTACCGTTATCACGTCCACTATAGCGCATTGAAATACATCGGAAAAACCGAATTAGATAACGCACACTCTCAACATAGACTCGCACTAGAGAAACCCTGTGGCGCGGATGCCACGGACACACATAAACAACCACAAATTACATCCAAACTCACGAGAGAAATGTAAACCAAACAAATATTTCTCCCGGCCCGGGAATCGAACCTGGGACCTCTGCATGGCAGTCCGGCATGATAACCGTTCGGGCACGGACGCAGTTAAAGAGTATATCACCATTCTCGAGATCATGTGTAAAACCGATGCAATAAGAAACCCCTTATCGTAACTTTTTAGTAGCAGTACAGCTCCTTATGATAGAGATAAGAACCCTTCACTTCTACCGCCAAGCAATAACATTAGCATTAATGTGTTCCGGTTTCGAAGAACAAGGGCTTAGGGCTTGTCAACTTATGTATCATGCTAGTGTCCCTCAAATATTTGCGATTTAAACCTCTGAATGGCACTGCAATTATTTATGAACAGGCGTGCCGCTTACCACCAGGTGCGCGACTTGTTCGTTCCGTCACTTAGGGTCGTATTCCAGAACTCTACTGAATGCTCAAATCACTTGAGTATGATTTCAAGCACTGGAAATACGACCCTAATGACAAGGACTTGAGCATGATTTTCAGTGCTCACTGCAATACTCAAGTCCTGACTTGAGTATTGAGTAGAGTTCTGGAATACGACCCTTAGTATTATAAAAAGAATAGGTCAGAGTAGATCAATGTGAAGAAAGGTGATATACGAACTTAACCTTTAAACTACGTACCGTAAATGAATTTTGGTGTAACTTCCTTATTGCATGATAAAAAACAGGAATTCCTTTATACTTTCCTGTTGACTGCCTAAGACGGCTCTCAGAACCAAAACGTCAGCAAGGGAATTAATTAATATAGAACATCAGCTGTATATTTGACAAAAATGTATAACCGCGCAGGTTAAAACCCAGAATTAAAAGCATTTTAAGATAACTCCGCAGCTTACGAAATTTGTTTTAGACAACCAAATAGGCTTATTTTATATGCTGACTCGGATAGTATTAAATAGTACTTAAGTTTTCAGTAACTCTTAACATCGGTACTGCTAAACAGTTGTAACACAACTTAGAAATTTATGTCGCATCATAGATTCAAACGGTCGCCCGCTCAGTGAGAAGTTCTCCTACTGAGCTACTACCTCGTGCTTACCTAGTTAATAGATCAGTGCTTCAAAGTGGAACGAATTATGGATGTCTTGGGTTTGTACTGCATTTATAGCATTCAATTTTCGATATTATTAGAGAGTGAAATATAATTTCGGTAATGAATGACTCAAGAGGAATATCTCCTCAATTGCACTTGGCACTTGGCCAAGTTTAATTTTACCGAATGAGATGGTTACCTGACATTAAGTGTACCCTTCACTTCGAAGTATATCAAAACCATACACGGCACATTTGCTTGCTCACGACAATATTCCGTTCATGCTTGAAAAAGAATATTTATCCACAGCACAAACCGAAAACAAACAAACGAAGACAAAATCGGCAGCCTATTACAATCAAAATTTCTTTTTTACAAGGCTAATTGCAGATTTTCAAGATTAGACTTGTAATTTAGTCACAAAGAACAATATATTGTAATAATTATGTTGTTAAGAAATCTTTACATTAGACATAGGAATGAGACTCCAGTGACTGTTATGAATTATCATATCTTTTCACTGTAAATCCAAACCAAAACAAAACCGTTTTTTAGTAATGGCGGCCGCCCGTCTGTGTTCCTTTAATACCTTTTTCTTCGATAAAAATTCTTAATGAAACAGAGTTATTTTCTAACAAAATAGAAAAAATAATGTCGCTAATATTATGGTAAGATAAATAGCAATAGGTAAGTGTAGCACGTGTTCATCAAAAACCTCACCCGGTAGTTTTAAAAGTGAAATAAAAAGAAATAATGTAGTAGGGTTCTCTTACGGTTGAATGATAATGTCATGGAATTCAATCAAACTTCCTTCCTTCAAATTTTTTATTTCAAAGGGTTTACAAAGTGCCAGGCTAAGTGTAACCGACTGTACTACTGGTACAATACAAATATTTGTAAAACTATTCGAGATAAGTCCAGACAGTCGATCCCACTAGGACTCGACTCCTGGAAGCAGTGTTGTCACCATTCGCCGGAAATATTAACACCGCGATGCAGATTTAGATAAAATGGGTCAATGCCATCTAGCAGATTTTTAGGAAACTATAAAATGAGCAAAATAATTTGGCAAGTGACTTGTATAATAACATATTAGTTATGATTATTCTCGCGTAACTTTCCATTAATAAATTAAATATTTGTTTATTTACCATATGTTATAATCTCTCAATAGCTTTTACTGCAACAAATATTACATTGACATTTTAAAGAGATCTGTAGTAGGAGACATTTGTCAAAGCTAGGTAAAACCTATATAATTCATTGTCTCGTCCTGAACTAAGTATGTGTCTACCTGAGCTCCATTACTTTTACACTATTTCGGAGCTTTCAACTCGTCGTTTTGTTCGGAGGCGCAGTCAAGGCCGTAATCGCCTTCCTCTCATAGACACGAAAGTGAACCTATATACAAAATCCAAGAAGTAATTGGTCGCTTTTATGTAGAAATCATCAAATCCATGACCTCAAATTGTATACTTCTGGCCACGAATACATGGAATTTGTAGTTGAGTCGGAAAAGGTTAGTTGTAAATATATACTATATATGGGTGACCCATCACCAGGCTAAAATGTTTAGTCACAAATTTAAGGTTGTTCAAGGCTAGAATGAATAGGCATTTTAGACAAACGACTTATCAATGGTCGCTTAACATTGGTAACGCAAAAAACACGAAGCGAAACGCGCTACATCTTTTTCGCTCTTATTAATAATAATAACGCACACACTCGCAGCCCCGCACTAGGGAAACCCTGTATCGCGGGTGCCATCGTCACAAATTACACCCAAACTCACGAGAAAAATAAATGTAGGCCGTACAAATAATTCTCTCGACCCGGGAATCTAATCCTGTACCTCTGCGTGGCATGCCATGTCCAGCATGGTAACCGTTCGGCCACAGAGGCAGTTAATTGCGTATACTTATAGCTTTTTTGATGTGCTTAATAAATTTGGGTCAACAAACTCTTTTAAATTGTGAAATTTTATAGTTTTACGTTTAAAAAATCTTCCAAGAATATTACGATGGTAAATGAATGAATCTAAATCCATATTCGAAAAGACAGAGGACCTTAAAGAGCACCAACAAACTTGAGTTTGTCTTAACAAGTTATTTATGGTTAGGCTGACGCTGCTACGTTTTATGACTAACTACAATTACGCTACATACGTCTTGTTATTCAGTGTAGTGAAGATACCGCGATCTATAAGCAGAATATCGATACGAATATATCGATTTAGCAACAGTATCGATCGAGTGTGAAGGCCGGCAACGCGTCTGTTTATTTACTTCTCAGTGAGCGGAAAGGAGAGTGTTTTTAAAATGGACGCGCTTAAGAAAATGTATGTACACACTTTGTTCACGTAGAACATAATCGTTACGAGGCCCGTGCTCAGTAATAACACATGTGAGGATGATAATTAGAGATAACAGATTTTTGTTCGAGTTTTAATCAGTTTAAACATTGACCTACCAATAAATGAACGTCGGGTCTAGTACAAAAACCACGAAAAAATGTTCGAAGTTAACCTATACAAACGTAGTGACATGTAAGAAAATATAAAATACTTAAACACTTAATTTAAATTGTAAGGTCATTGCAGTACTGCCTAATTTTGCTTGCAACAATTTAAGGGCCCAAAAACACCATATTCAGCTTCTACTGGAAATTAAACAAAATGCACCTTATTTAGCTTCGACTGAAAATTACTTGAACACAAGAGTAATGGAGTAACCTTTATCGTAAATATTAATTAACTTTTATATATATTATTATGTCGAATTTTGTACAAATTCACTTAGACAAATAATAAAGAGTTGGGCAGATACATACATATAAATATTACTACAAATATGAAAATAAGCGTGTACTATAAGAAATGTACCGATATTCCAATTAAACGTAAAGTCAAATATCCGTAATTCCGAAAACCAATTTATAATAAAACCTTTACGCTTTCGAGTAATTTTGATGCTTTTCACATAGACAAAATTAGCTTTTGTTTTGTAATCTTCCTAAAAAAACACATTTGACAATGAAAATTCGAGCTAACGTTATTTCGGGCAAATGTATTTTCTGTCTTCTGATAGGCAATCCCAAGCCGTAAAACGAGTACAACAATATTTTGTTACTTATTGCTAACGTTTGATATAAAATCATCTCAAAAATAAGATTAAAATCAAAGCGACTCTATAGTTTCTTTGTTCTAAATATTTTAATCGCTTGTGGTTCAAACAATTGAAAATGACCAAAAAGTTTATATACGCTTCTTCAAATTGACGTAATGGGTCTCTTTCCATCTTTTGCGCATGCAATGTGTAGAAAAAGGACAGTTAGCTATTTGATTATTTTGTGTGCTTTTGTAATTTTTTATTTACGATTCATTTATATATAAATTAAATATTATACGACTGTACAAAATAACACTTTTAAATGATAACTATGATAATACAACATATTCGTTTAGTGAAAATATGATACAAAATCCTGTTTTTACACTTTACTGCAGTAATTTTTACGAGTTATTATTATATTGTACTGCATGATTGCCAACGCGCTCAGTCAGTCAGTCGATTAAACGACGTCTGTTGCGCGATTGTTGGATACAGGTGCGGACACTTTTTAGCGCAAACCCGACGTCCATTTATTGGTAGGTCAATGAGTTTAATGAACCGTTTCAACCCGTTCTTTTTAACCAGTAGTTAAATGATACTGCACACAAAGATGTCACTGCACTACTTTTAACGTAGCGTAGTTTACATTGAATCAATATAAATATTGATTCAATGTAAATCATTGAATTTTGTCAGTACGTCATTAATACTTTCCTATGCAACTACACAGAAAGCACTTCGAAATCGCACTGTATCGGTACGGGGAACCCCGTAGTATCGTATTCTGGTATTTAATATTACAGTATACGCCGTGAGTAACGTCGTAACGTTTTATTTATAGTTGGACGACTGTCGCTTTTAGCCTGTTCCCATGTCACGACTGTGTCGTGAACATTTTTATGTCGTTGAACGACTGTCGTGTTTATGATTATGACAACTACGTCGTGGTAGCTGCGATTGTCTGTCCTTCACGTTTTTATCGTGACATTTTATTTATCGGCAGACGACTGTCGTTCTAGCTTTTCCCATTTTTTTTGACAGTCTAAGTCAAAGTCAAAGATTATTTATTCCATAGGTAAAATAAATTTTCACTTGAAAACGTCACATATAAGCTACTGCTCGTTCACTACGCTGACCTCTCTGAGAAGAACGAGCAAGAAACTCTAGGGATTGCTTTTTTCAAATAAACTTAAATGCTGTGGAATACACTTTGAATCAAATTTGTGTGGATTCTGGAGCCGTGTCGTCTTTTTTTTTTTTTTTTTTTTTTTTTTTT